GTGTCTTTGTAACAGCCCGTCCAATGATCAGCTTCCCGATAGCTTGCCCGAATGCGCTGCGGGTGCCGGTGACTCATGCTACTGGCAATAAGCAGCCACAGGAGTGCTTGCAGGAGATGATAGTTGTGAGCGCTGGCTTTTTCTGATTGCAATGAGAAAAAAAAAAAAATAAAAAAAACACCAAACCCCTTCTGCTCAGGTTCTTTCAAGTTCCCAGACAGAGAAAACGGCGGTTGGAAACACATCAACAGAAACAAGCTATGAGATGCAGCAGATACCCTTAAGCCGCTCACTTTGGATTAAGCTCCTGTACTTATTGCTCACGTAGCCAATTTCGAGAATCTTTGTGATTTAGCTACTGGGGGTTTCATCTCTCTGCCTTGCACTATTATTTTATCTGACATACAACATGATCGAGGTGGGCAGCCCTCGCGGCACAAGGATGCGGCTAGGCAGATTCCGGTTTGCAGAAGTATTTTGGGTGGGAGGGAAAGGAGATCTCTTGTAACCTGTGTCCAGCTCTTCATGGACACAAGAGAAGAGGTCCCTGGCTCTCCTGCCTTTACACCGTCCTAAAGCACAACCCAGCCTCACCGGGGGGATTGAAGGTCCTGGGTGAGGGTTCACTCGAGAACCCAAGGTGAAGGGGCAAAGGCTATTTTAGAAAAATCTTCCTCAGGGGCTGAATGATCTCAGCAGAGTGAAGGAGGGGGTGGGAGAGAGCTGGAAGAAAAGCGGGTGAATTCCCCTTCACAGAACATGAAGGGGAGCCAGCAATGACGTGGAAACTGCTGGTTAAATACGGGGGGCGGAAAAAAGTGATAAAAATACCACTTCACAGGGAGCTTTTGAACTCTGAGCCTGACAAGGAGATTCAAAAGAAGAGCAATCATTTCAAGCATCATTTTAATAACTATTTTATAAGTCTTATAGTACTATTTAATGTATTTTGAAGTTATTTTGGAAAAGGCATTTACTTGCTGCCTTTGAAAGCCATGCTACCTAATTTCTCAGTTTCCCTTGCAGTGAGGGGAGACAATTTTTTTTGTAAGAAAGATCCCAGAAAATACTATCACGAGACAACTTCCAGTCAGCTATTCTCTGCAAGCCCATGATCATTTAGATCCATTTCTGAAAGAAATCAAAAGAGCAGCACTGATAAGTAAAACCACCTTCAACCCCAGCTTTCCCAAGCCTGTAACAGGACATGCATGTCCAGACGCAGAGCTGGCAGCCTCAGAAAAGCCCCTATTTATGCTGCCCTGTTTGCTGTGCAACGTGTTAAACCCTAAACTTCACCTTGCAAAAGCTTCAGCGCAAGGAACCTTAACTCAAGCAAGTGAGCCCTTGGCTCACCTAAGGAAAACCGTCTCCCAGGGTCTCAGGAGAATCGTGTTGCATCCTGCTCCTGAGTGCAGACCTCAGCGAGTTGCCCCATTCAATTCTAATTTCATGACTCAGAGCGGCAGGCTTTGGTAGAGGGGGGGA